GGCTTTGCTGCGCGGCCTCGCCGAGGAGCTCTTCCCGCCTACGCTCGCCTTCCTGCAGCGGCACTGCAGCTCCGTGCTGCACGGCCATGCCCTGCCCTGCCGCCCCACTGCCGGGGGCGTCCCCGAGACGGCCGCGTTCGCCCGCATCCTGCGAGCCCAGCTGGACCGGCACCTGCCGCCCGAGCAGTCCCCGGGCCAGGCACCCAGCACGGACGAGGTGGCAGGTGAGGCCGGGGCCCCTGCTCCCAGGGTCGGGGCTGGCGGGGTCCCCCTAGGCGGTGCGGAGGTCCATGGGGAAGGGCATGGCCCGATGCTCTTGCAACCAGCTCCTTGCTTTGCAGGCCCCAGGGACAGCTCCCCCACGCTGGCGCCATCCTCCTCCTCCTCCTCGAGCCAGCATCCAGACCAGCTTGTAGCCGCCCAATGCCACCAGCTGCTCCTCAGCATCTTCGTGTTTGCCTACATCTGGGGCTTCGGTGGCCACCTGCACCCCAGGTACCGGCTGGTCCGATGTGTGCGGGACGCCCCTCCCCAAGCCTGCCCTGCCCTGGGAAGCGGGGTGCAAGCCCGGATCCTGTTGCAGCGTGGGGTTGGGGGTAGGGTCTGGGAGCCAGGATCACAGGAGCGTGGGGCTGGGAGGGACCTCATGGGGTCACGTTTAGTCCAGTCCCTGCTGGAGGTAGGACCAGCCCTGACTGGACCGTCCCAGCCACGCGTTGGTCTAGGATGGAGATGCCCTGGCTCCACTAGGTACCTGTTCCAGTCCAGACCTCCCTCAGGGTTGGGACGCAACCCTGTGCCCCGTGGCCGCAGAGAAAAGCCCTTTTCCAGCCTCTCTGTCATCGCCCCATAGGTATTTGAAGACTTGTTGAATCTCCCCTTGGTCTCTTCCCTTCTCTAGACTCAGTCACCCCAGTTTTTTCCACCCAGTCCTGCCTCCCAGGTCCCCGATCGTGTTTGTTGCCCTGCGCCGGGCTCTGCCCGAGTCCCTCTGGCGTGTCCACAACTCCACCCAACTTGGCCATCTGCACGTCTGCTCAGCAAGCACTCGATCCCCTTTGCACCAGACTCCTAGAAAATGAAGAGTTGGAGGTTGCATCTAGTCCAACCCCCTGCTCCAGGCAGGACCAGCCCCAACTACATCATCCCAGCCAAGGCTTTGTCTATCTGGGTCTTAAAAATCACCAAGGATGGAGACTCCCCTACCTCTCTGGGGAGCCTGTTCCAGTGCTTTACTATCTTCCTCAGGAGGACATTTTTCCTAGTATCCAACCCAGCTTCCCTTGCTGCAGCTTGAGCCCATTGCTCCTTGTCCATCATCTGCTCCCACTGAGACCAGCCCAGCTCCATCCTCTTTGCAATCCTCGCAGGGAGGTGGAGGCTGCTATTCAATCCCCCTCGGTCTCCTCTTCTCCAGACTCAATCAGCCCATTTCCCTCAGCCTCTCCTCACCAGTCCTGTCCCCCAGTCCCTGCTCTCCAACGTGTCCACATCCTGTCTGTAGTGGGGGCCCACAGCTGGACACAGGACTCCAGATGTGCCCTCCCCAGTGCTGAATAGAGGGAAGAATCACTGCCCTTGATCTGCCGGCACCGCTTCTGCCGATGCCGCCCAGGACGCCGGTCACCTTGCTGGCACCACGGGTGCGCTGCCGGCTCCTGTTCAGCTTCTTGTCCCCTGTCCCCCCAGGTCCTTTTCTGCAGCGCTGCTGCCCAGCCCGTCCTCCCCAGCCTGCCCCGGTGCCTGGGGTTGCTCCCTCCTCACTGCAGGACTTTGCACTTGTCCTTGTTGAACCCCA